GTTCACCGAGTCGGCATTCTGTCTGAAGCGTCCTTCTTGCTCGAAGTGATCGGATATGCATGGGGCCCCAGCGGACAGGGGAAATGCGAGGCCAAATAAAAGCTTCGGGCGAAGGGGGATTACCGGAAGTGCTGAGAGGGGAAATGAAAGGACGGGGCGGGGCGTGAGCTGACGGGCGGATTTTCCCGTCTGGTTGGGCCTGAGGTTGTGCATCTGACTCGCCTCACTTGAGGTACAAAGACCTTTAATTCGGTTAAAAATTGTACTTGATCCCTACTACCTATTTTGTACTATTTTTAAAGGCTTTCTTCAACGAAACCTATGTAAATAAGACAAATGACATTTGTTGTTTTAAAACAAAAAGCATAAAAAGAAAGCAAAAGTGGTATGGTGATCTAGTTCCTAAGGCATAAACTAAAAGCCTCGTTTCTGTACCTGCCCAGCTCCCACCCTTAAAAGGAAAACATCTGCTTTTTAAAGGGGGGGGGGGAGTATAGGTGCAGACGTACGTGTTATTAAAAAGTGCAGAAAAAGATAATGCCTTCATACTCTCTTCAGCCTTTTCCATTTGATCCATTTAGAGACGCACAGAGAAAGCTATCTTACTCTTTTTAAAATGGCTAGATAGTAGTACATTCCATAAATACCATAATGTATTCATCCACTGCCCTCTTCTTCACCCACTGAAGGACATTTTGGCTGCTTCCAATTTTTTTCTGTTGCAAAGAATTTTCAGTGATTGCCTTGGGACATATTTTGGTGTAAATCCTCAGGGTTCATTTGTAGAGAGACAAAATTGCCCAGGCAACAAGACACGTGCTGATAAATGCCGCCAAATTGCCAAATTGTATCAATTCACACCCTTATCCAAAAATGTATGAAAGTGCTTACTTTGTCATTTATGCTTTATCATTGGATAATATCAAACGTCAGAAATTTTGCTTCTCTGATAGGTGAACCACTTTCTTTGATTAGCAGTTTCATAATTATGAATGAGTTTGCACTACTATTGATATTTATTGGCCATTAGTTTTCCTGAAAGCAGTCATATGCTGGCCCAATTTTCTTAAATATTTTATTTATTTATTGTTATTTCAGAAAGAGGGTGGGAGAGGGCAACAGAGATAGAAACATCAACGATGAGAAAGAAGCATTGATCTGCTGCCTCCTGCATGCTTCCCACTGGGAGTCAAACTGTGACCTCCTGGTTCATAGGTTGATGCTCACCCACTGAGCCACACCAGCTGGGCTGATCTCCAAATTCCTAACATGTCCATGCTCCCAAATGGCAACAACTAAGAGACCAAATTACTTTCATGGTTTCAGCAGGAACAAACATCTCTCTGCAGCTATACCCACATCCTACTGAGTAGGTTAACCCTATAGAAAAGGACCAGGTACATGATTACTGGGTACCAGGAATTGAACCTGTGACCCTTGTGTGCTCCTGCCGGTGCTCTAACCATTGAGAACACCAGCCAGGGCTGCTTCCTTTTTTTTTTATTGCTTTTTTTTTTTTTTTTAGGATTCAAGGATTTATTAAGTCATACATGCAAACATACTGCTAACCGCATTAGCAAAGATTAATGTAAAAACACTCCACAAGTCTTATTGCTTGTTTTTTAAAAAAAATATATTTTATTGATTTTTTACAGAGAGGAAGGGAGAGGGATAGAGAGTCAGAAACATCGATGAGAGAGAAGCATCGATCAGCTGCCTCCTGCACACCCCCCTCTGGGGATGTGCCTGCAACTAAGGTACATGCCCTCGACCGGAATCGAACCTGGGACCCTTCAGTACCCAGGCCGACGCTCTATCCAGTGAGCCAAACCGGTCAGGGCGCTTGTTTTTTTTTAATTAAAATAATAGTACATGTTAATCTTAGCAAATGTAGATGAGTAAAAAGAATAAAATATAAGTCACTTGTGGCCTATTATCTAATGACAACTGATCTATTTTGGTGTATATACCTTCTCATATTTTATAAATATACTAGAGGCCCAATGCACGAAATTCATGCAAGAGTCGGCCTTCCTTCCCTCCGGCCACTGGCAGGCACCCAGGACCTGGGCTTCCCTTGCAGCCCTGGCTTCGTCCGGAAGGACAGAAGGACATCCGGAAGGATGTCTGGTCTAATTAGCATATTATGCTTTTATTATTATAGATTATTATAGATATACAATGTATGTATACATACAATTTATATTTATTAAACTGGAATCATACCATACCTACTTTTAAAATGTAAATGTTATATTTTTTACTTTTAAAATTGAGATGAATTTGATATAACTTATACCCAGTAACGTGCATAGGTCTTAGCGCTCTGAAGTTTTACATAGTACATATTGTTTTCTAACTTTTTTTCACTTAACATTTCCCAGGCATTAAATATGTTTCTACATCATTTTCAGTGACTACATGGTACATTGCAGAATGTGAGAATATGGTGGTTCAGGAAAAGGAGCCTCGAGTTGCATTTCATAAAACATGAGTGAGTGATTACCAAAATTCTTTTCACAATTATCTTTTCTTTTTGTTTTTCAGAAGAACGTTAAAGCATTGTCCTGACTCTTCTCAAGATGGAGAATAAAGGAGCAATATTTTCTTTTTCTGATCAATATTGTCTAGTGTTTGAGGGAATTCATATCACTTTTCTTTTTAATTGTGGTAAAATATATATAACATAACATTTACCATTTTAACTATTTTAAGTGTACAGTTCAGTGGAATTGAGTACATTCACATTGTTGTGCAACCATTACCACCATCCATCTTCAGAATTTTTCTAATTTTTCCAAACTGAAACTTTGTGTCTTTTAAACACTAACTCTTCATTTGACTTTTCCCCACAGTCCCTGGAAATTTCCATTTTTCTTTCTGTCTCTATGAAGTTGACTCCTCAAGGTACCTCATATAAGTAGAATCATACAGAATTTGTCCTTTTGTGTCTGACTTACTTCACTTAGCAAAATGTCTTCACTTAACTTCATCCATGTTGTAGCATGTGTTAGAATTTCCTTCCTTTTTTTTCTTTTTTTTCAGAGAGGAAGGGTGAGGGAGAAAGAGATAGCAGCATCAATGATGAGAGAATTATTGATTGGCTACCTCCTACAAGCCCCCTAGTAGGGGTTGAGCCCGCAACCTGGGCATGTGCTTTGATGGGGAATTGAACTGTGACCTTCTGATTCTTAGGTTGATTCTCAACCACTGAGCCACACCAGCTGGGTTCCTTCCTTGTTAAGGCTGAATAATATTCCATCGTCTGTATATACCACGTTTGTTTATCTATTCCTCTGTCAGTGGACACTGGGTTGCTTCTGGCTATTGAGAATAATGGTATTACGAACATGGGTATACAAATATCTGTTCAAGTCCCTGCATTCAAATCTTTTGGGTGTGTACCCAAAAGTGCAATTGCTGGGTCTTATAGTCATTCTATATTTAATTTTTTGAGGAATCACCATCCTGTTTTCCATAGCAGCAACTTTACATCATTTTAAGACAATTTTCAGCTATTTTGGTTAGGCTTTTGTGATACCCACGTAGGCCTTCAAAACCTCAAGGGATGTGAAATTTCTAAAACAAAATTAATTACTTTTTTTTAAAAAAATATATTTTATTGATTTTTTACAGAGAGGAAGGGAGAGAGATAGAGAGTTAGAAACATCGATCAGCTGCCTCCTGCACATCTCCCACTGGGGATGTGCCCACAACCCAGGTACGTGCCCTTGACCAGAATCGAACCTGGGACCCTTCAGTCCGCAGGCCGATGCTCTATCCACTGAGCCAAACCGGTTTCGGCTTTCTTTCTTTTTTTTTTTTTTTAAAATATAAATTAATTACTTTATTTATAAGTTCCATACAGAACTTTTAGCAAGAGAGGATATATAGTGAAGGATTGGTGAAAATGGTGCCTCACTACTTTATTTCTCTTCAGAAATAAGCTTTAAAAAAGATGTATATAGGTGGGCTCAGTGAAAAAGTATTTTTCCCAAGGTGATATTTATGGGGGCTTTTAAAGGGTTAAGGCAGTTACAGTTTTGTATACCTCACCACTCACCTTCTCTAAATCCTAGACCTGACCTGCATTTCCTAGGGCCACGGTGAGCTGAAACACAGGTTCCCTGCATCCACTCCAGACCAGACACATTCTTGAGTCTGGAGAGAGCCAGCCCAGGAGAAATGGGACAGCAAATCCACCCTATCATCATAGAGTTATTTTTCTCACTTTCCTATTTTATTTCACGATTTTAAATGGTTTTATTTGTTTGCCTCCCTCCATCAGAATATAAGCTCCCTAAGAACCCAGAGTTATTTAGCATACCTTTCCTACCTTCATGCTGGGCACAAAATAGGTCCTTAATAAATATTTGTTGAATGAATAAATGATCAAATGAATGAAAATTTGCTTTCTGAGTCTATTTTCTTTTATTCTATTTTAAAAAATTTTGAAATTTTCTAAGTTCACAGGAAACCACCCACTACTCATATCTAACAAATTCTAAGATTTTAGCATATTGCTTCAAATTTTTCTTTTATCACTTAAAAAGAAGGAAAAAGAAAAAAAAAAGATGGAGAGATGGCTCACTTGGGGGGGGGGGGTAAAAATGGACAGTCTTTGTTTATCCAGAAGAGAGTGGTTAATCTGCATCACTTATATAAACTCAAACTACAAGTCCCAGGCAGCACTGCAACAGTTTGGTAGGGTCCATTATTTTTTTCTTCTGTCAACAGCCAATGAAAGGTAGTTTACACAGGTCTTGGATGACATCTGGTGTGTGTATTGGCTGTGTCCAGCCTTAAACCTTGTTAGTGCAGTTTGGAACATGCTGCTGTAAACCAGATTTAAAAGGCTTTTCCTGTTCATTCGCAGCTCATTGTGCCTCTTGTTTCAGGGCAAGAAGAGTTGATTTAGTGATCTAAATGGACGCGATACTGAATTACAGGTTGGAAGACAGTGAAGACTACTACACGTTACTGGGATGTGATGAACTGTCTTCGGTAAGACAGTGAATTATGCTGTTCTTTTTCACAACAGTATTTCAGGTTTTATTTAAGATTTTAATTTTGAAATTTTAGTCACATTGCCTAAAAACCTAATCTTGTATTATTTTAAAGCACCTTTGGCTCAGAGAAAGTTAAGGATTTAAATGTGCATTGGGTCTTTACTTGAATAGTGTCTTCTTGCAGTTTTATGGATACTTGTGATTGAGTATGTGTATTGCCATAGACTCTATTTCAAATATACTAAAAATAGATATTTGAAATTTTGTTGTAATTGCTATTGACTGTGTTTCATAGCATACATAAGCGATAGCTTTATTATGGCAATTTAAATTTTAATTGAGATGAAATGTAATTTTCTATTAATTGGTGATTTTAAAATGTTTTATTAAAATCTGTACTGTTATGTGAGTAGCTAAATTATGCAAACCAAGAAGCATTCTTTTATGTTAATAGTTCAAATTGTGTAAGAGAAATTACTTCTTAAAAGGGTGGCTTCTGATACAAACCATGTGAAAATTCCGTAGTTTTTCACTTGATCCATAATAGAATAATGTTTTAAAGGTCCCCATAGACAATTATAAAGGTTGTAAAAGTTTTTTAAATTATGGGAAACTCATTTATAATTCTATCTCCAATGGTAACACTGTTAATGTTTGGCATATTAATCTTCAGTCTTTTTCCTATACGTATTTTTGAAGACATGTTTGGGAGGATATTATATATACTTGTTGATCTTGCTTTTTATCCACTAACATTATAACAAGGATTTCTCTATGCTATGAAACATTTTTCATACATATTTTAATGATCACATAATCTTATTGTACCACAATGGGTGTTCTGTTATTGTTACAAATTTTATTTATTTTTAGTTTTCAAAATGTTAAATATTGAGATGAATATAAAATATATTTTAATTATATTATTGCATATATTCATATTATTTATAAGTCTATATTTAAAATATATTTTATTTCATTACTAAAATATAGCTATTAAAATAAAATATTTTAAAGCAAAATATTTTTTCTATTTGATTTTGTTTTACATGGCTGGAGTTTAGTAATAAAATGTACTTTGTAGACTAGAATGCTATATTGGACACAAAGGATTAAAATCTCTACCCTTATCACTTTGAGGAGTTTACCTTGAGTACCTTGTAGTTACACACACACACACACACACACACACACACTAAACAGGTTATAATGCTCTTTTAGGTGCATATTTCTTCTTTAGGATAATATGTTACTCTTGCTTACTTTTGTGGTGATTTTGCTTATAGCGAGTTTGAAAGCTTATTACCATTTTTACCATGTGTTATTCATACCTTGGATTCTACTATTGCCAAATAATTTTTGAAGGAACTTTTTAAAATTAAAGGAGCATAATCAAACTTGATAAGTTTCACAACTTGGGTTAAAAAATACTGTCATGCTAGGTTATAAAGAGTCTTTATATCTCCATAATAAATCTTTTGACTGTTTAGTCAGTCTCTTGTAGTTCTGTTATTGTCTTTTTAGTCTACACAGGAGGAGGATTAATTTTGAATAGACTAAAAAGATGGTCCTGTTCTTTATTTATAATGCTTATAACAGTTTAATTTCATGGTTAGCAGTTATAGTCATACTTCTCTGCATATACTGTGGCATATATTAAAAGGATAAAAGCATTATACTCCTTCTTCTGGATGCATTTTACTGATTCTGTCAATGGCACAGAAGTGTAGATAACAATCATTTGTTTAAAATGAAATGACCTTCCATAATTTTGTCAATTCTTTTTATATGTATCCTTCCCATTTAAAAATATTTTATGCCAATTTTGAGTAGTGTGACATTTCCTTTACTTGATTTGTATTGGATGGATTTCCTTTACTTCAAATATTCCTTGATTTGATGCTCTAAAAAATTGACCATAACTGTTCATATCCCAAAACAATTTAGCAGTTATAATTTCAAAGCCACTTGATATTTTAATTTTTATAACAATTGAGTTGAGACACACATAATTCTTTTAAAAATATTTTTATTGATTTCAGAGAGGAAAAGAGAGGGGGAGAGAGAGATAGAAACATCAGTGATGAGAGAGTATCATTAATCAGCTGTCTCCTGCACACCCCCTACTGGGGATCGAGCCCACAATCCGAGCATGTGCCCTTGACCAGAATTGAACCCAGGACCTTCCAGTCCACAGTTCAACGCTTTATCCACTGAGCAAAACCAGCTAGGGCATTCTTAAAATATATATATTTCTTTCTTTCAGAGAGGAAGGGAGAGGGAGAGAGAGATAGAAACATCAGTGATGAGAAAGAATCATTGATTGGCTGCCTCCTGCACACCCCACACTGGGGATTGAGCCTGCAACCTGGACATGTGCCTTGACTGGGAATTGAACCGTGACCTCCTGGTTCATAGGTTGATGCTTAACCACTGAGTCATGCTGGTCGGGTCACACATAATTATTTTGCTTTAGTATATAGTTTTTACAATTTACAGCTTGTGTTAGAAATTAATTAAATGACAAATGTAAACTGTGGGAGGATTTCCATGCTGTTGAGTAGAAACCAACATACCTCCCATTTAAAAAACATTTATGAAAGTTTGAGTCCAAGTCAGTCAGCGTTTCCTTCCTATATCAGATTTTACACAAAAGACACATGCTATAATATAACATCTTCTAAAGTCCTTAATGATGCAGACACCACACACTGGTGGTATAAGGCCTTCTTTCTGGTGTGGATCTTATTTGATTTTTAAAATATTTGGTCACCATTTTATAGTAATGATAAGAAGACTTCTTGCCAAACCGGTTTGGCTCAGTGGATAGAGCGTCGGCCTGTGGACTCAAGGGTCCCAGGTTCGATTCCGGTCAAGGGCATGTACCTTGGTTGCGGGCACATCCCCACTGGGGGGCGTGCAGGAGGCAGCTGGTCGATCTCTCTCATCGATGTTTCTAACTCTCTATCCCTCTCCCTTCTTCTCTGTAAAAAATCAATAAAATATATTTTTTTTTTAAAAAAGAAGACTTCTTGATTTCAAGATCTCATGGACTTGAATACTGAGCATAAACTCATGAAGGGAAACACCTGTTTCTTTTTTCTAGTTCTTTTTCTTGTTGACTTCAAACCACCTGGGTTTAAATCTTACAATTTACTAGCTGTGCAACTTTGGGAAAATTGCTTAACTTTTCTATGCCTTGGTTTCCTAATCTTCAGTTGGGGATAATAATAGTACCCACCTCATAGGGTTGTTGTGGGGATTAAATGAGACATGATATAGAAAGTGCTTAGAATGGTGCCTGGCACATGGTTGTAGTTGTGGTATGGGTGTTGTTTTGGACTCACAGTAATACTTGGAACTTTGTAAATTTATCCTTATTCTATAAGTCACATTAATTTTTAAAAGTTCCCATTATTTAAAAATGATTTGTAATAAATACATATTTTTAAAATATGTTTTACTGATTTTTTTTTAGAGAGAGGAAGGGAGAGGGAGAGAGAATGAAACATCCATAAGAGAGAAACATTGATGAGCTGCCTCCGGCATGCCCCCTACCTGGGCAGGGAATTGAACTGGCAACCTTTTGGTGCATGGGATGACATTCAACCAAGTGAGCCACACTGGGCTAACATCTGGAGTTTTGTGTGGAAAATGCAGTTTCAAACTAATTGAATTGAAATGATGGGTACTAATTAACCCATTTATTAAAATGAGTTTTGTCTTTTCCTCAGCATAAAAGTTTCCATCACTAGATTCAGTTCATTCTTTTAATGGATAAATCACAATTTTCAGAAAGCTCCTATTATATTACAGTCATACTATTTGAAGTACATCTGTCAGTCTGTAATCAAGTATTTATTCAACACTTGGCATCCGGGCAGTCTTAGAAGCAATGTGGTGGGGGGAGAAACAAAACGGAGAGGTGAGACATGGTATGAGTATATAAGGAATTTAACATGCAGTTGAGGAGCCAAAGCTAATACACAGGAAACAATTTGAGAACAAATAAGCACTGTGTTATATGGTACTGTCTATAAGTGAAATGGGAATTAGAGGGAAAATATCTGAAAAGACTTCAGAGAAGAGATGGGGATTGAAATGATCTTACATAGTCAAAATTTAGATGATAGAAGGAGAGACATGGGGCATGTGTGTGGCCAGGGAAAGCTAGACAAGATCTGTCCAAGTGGGAATCAGATCAGTTCTTATTGCATACTAAATTATTTCCTGGCACAGATCAAAATATTGTGCTAATAGGATATGGAAAAGATAAGTTTTTAAATTTTAAAATTTAATTTCTAAAATTATATTATCCTATCTAATAAAAGGGTAATATGCAAATTAACCATCACTCTGTCACAAATATGGTGGCGCCCATAGCCACAAGATGGTGGCGCCCAGTTCCCTCAGCCCTGCCGGAGTCCGCCAGTCCTGTGAGGATGGCTTCTGAGAGCAGGCAGCATGAGTGGCCTTGCTGAATGCTTGCTTCGTCGCTGTGGCGATGAGGCAAGCGTCTCGCCCAGGCCGCGGAGGGCCTCTGAGCCGTGGAGAGCCTCTGGGCAGTGGGCGTGGAGCAGCCAGGCCCTGTAGAGAGCAGAGAACCACAGGGAGGTTCATCAAATCAAGCCGTCAGGGCTCCCGGATTGGAGAGGGTGCAGGTCGGGCTGAGGG